TATTGGAGTCACACTGTCCACTTCAGGCTGGTCAATTTTATTATATTTGCTACTTTGTCTCACCCAATAAAGATTTAAGCTGCTTGTCTGAGAGCATTTTCCACAGCGCCTATTTTTTCCAGTTCTCTTCATCATGCAAATGATTAACCAGCAGTGGTGATCATGAAACTGTTCACATGTTTCCACCTGGAGTAGCCTTCTGCACTCATTGTATGTATATACTGTAGTGTTGTTTGTCGCTAGCAGGGGCGGACTGACCATTTGGAAACTCGGGTAATGCCCGAGGGCCCGGCATCAGTAGGGGGCCCCATGAGATGCCCCTGGTACCTTTTTCATAGGGTTTTTTGAGTTTGGGCAAGGACACAGGGGCCCCATAATCCCCTATTGCCCGGGGGCCCCCCCCCCGCATGAGTTGTCAGTCCGCGCTAGTACTATGTGCGGCCGGCAGCAGAGAAGGGGCACCATGCAGTTGATTTCTGAACTGACACCAGCGGTAGGCAGAGTAGAGTGACACCACACACACACCAAAGCGGCACCGCTCAGAGCGGTGTGTGCTGTCAGGCTTGAATGGGCTATGTGCTGAGGGAGGAAGATGTCGGCTGAGTTGGGCTGTAACACTCACTTTCTCACCCCCTACCAAAGCAGCAGCAGCATGAGCAAAGCGGGAGCATCTGTCCTGCCCGCCGCCGCTCTATTGCCATCGGCTCTCACTCCTCCTTGCAATTCCATTCTGGTTGCCAAGCAACCACCTCCACCACTAGGCAGTAGCAGAACTGAGCAAAGGGTAGCAGCCGGCTGGCAAAACACAGCACACATGACTTGTTTGTGTTCTATTCAATTTTTAGTAGCACCAAAACATAGTGTGGTTTTGTTTTTTGTGATTGTTAAGTGATTTATTGTACAACAAACACTCTCCATGTTTGCGGTGCCACAAAAAATTAATGGAACGCGTCTCGTGTGCTGCGTTTTGCCAGCATTGCAGTGCGATTTGGAATCATCGTCAGAATCACGGCGATTCTGCCCACAATCCCAAATCGCTAGATGTGAACAGGGCCTTAATGAAAGACTGGGCTGAGATTTCTATTGCTGTTGTGGTACTGTTGCATTCTAATGTGAACCTAGGATAATGGTACTTCCATGCTTGTTTTTCTTTGCAGGTACAGAAAGGTGTGCGAATACACACCTTCCCCCACCTGCTCATATGTGAAACAATAACATTCTGTGATTACCTGAAACATTTTTTGGGGCTGTGCCCACACTGCACAGGTTAACTGCTAATTTATTTCTAGGGGATTGCAGAGCAGAGGTATACTTACCTAATCCTCCAATCCTCCCATGCCCAGCGCACGGTCCCTGCCTCTCTGCAGTCTAGTGGTCTTGTGCAGTGGACAGTTCCTGATGTCACCACACCCATAGACTGGATCCCGACGTGAGGATGGCATGATCAGTCCAACGCTAGACATGGCAAAGCACCATTTTCCAGAGGATCAATGGATTGGGTGAGTATAAGCTCTGCTTTCACGCCTGGAAAAATCAAGCAGTTAACCCATGCAGTGTGGATATTTAATTTTCAAGAGGACTTGAGAAACATATTTAATTTTCCTTTTTCCAATCTTTCTGAATTTGGCACAATTTATGTTATTTAAGAACTTTTACTTGGTACCTGCTGCTGAACTCCCCCCTCCCCGAACAAAAAACTATCTATGGCCCTGCTCTGAAAGGATTCCACTATCCATTCAGAGCTCCCCATTGCGCATGTGCTTGTACCATATATATCTCCTAAACGGTTTATGTTTAGGAGATATTTACTGTACCTATATGTAGCACTACCCCCTTAGGAGTTGCAAAGTATTTGGGTCCCCCTATAGTCCTGCACAGCCAGACAGAACGCATTTTTCATAGACTTGCATCCAGGAGTCAGTAAGCAGTCCCTGGGCTTGTTTTGATGTTTTATTAGGGGGATTTCAACTTGGATAGTGTAAGGGGTGTACGGGATGCCCAATGGAACTGAGAAACTGAGGACAACTTCCTGAACTATATACAGTGGTTACAGCAAACAGTCTTTTTTGAAGAGCTAGCCAGCATCTCTTGTAGTACCACACCAGACCTCAGATAAATCCTCTTCTTTACCCAGCTGTCTGGAGCAATCCCTGAGCAGTGGGTCTGGTGTCTGCCACATAAATAATAAAACAGTCCTGGGTGGCAGGCTAATCCAGATTCCTACTAGAGTGCCTCCTTCACCTTTCTGGCCCAGGGGGTGCAGGTCTACTCACTGAGTCCTTCTCCTGTGTGGCTGGTGGAATGGTGGCTGCTACCAGGCCTTCCTGCTGGGCCTCTTCTTCCCTGCTACACAGATGATCCTCGCTCTGCTGTCTGGTAAAGATCTGAGCTTTCCTCTTTCCAAGCTCCTCTGCCTGTAAGTGGGCCCTCTCCCAGGCTCTACTGTAACCTCACTCTATCTGCAACTTCACTCTATCCTCCCCTCCTGCTGGGCAGGCTCTCTTACTCTTAAATGTTGTCCTGGCTCCTTGCCAAGCCTACCATTGGGTTTGGCCAGTATCCTTTAAGAGTACAGACCAGCCACTCCTCAGATCCACCCACTGCTTCTAGACCTTTCTCCAAAGTTCTAGAACACAGGGAAATTCCAAAGGGCTGGTCTGCAGAGCCTTTCAGCTCTGACAGCAATTTGACCCCATCTAGTTATCACACCCAGGCTGCTACTTAGCCCTGCTTGCTAACAATTGCTAGCTGACTAGGAGGGTGCTACATATAGGAAAGCCTTATTATACTGCCACTTTAAGATTTCAGCAATGCTGAACACCCCAATATTTGTCACCTTAAAAGCTGCCATTCTTCATTCCTTATTAACCCGTTTCCACTCAGTTCCAGTGTCCCTTTAATACACCCATTCTCACCCACTGTTCACTCTGACAAACTACGTGCATTACTACTCTCCTTGGGCACCCAAAGGTGTCCCAGGCCTTTACAATCCTATAGTGTATACTGATTGTGAGTATGCACTCATAATGTTTTTCATTTTTAATAAACTTTTATCCAGTAACGGACTAGGCTTTTGCAACCTTTTGGTTTCATATATTTCTGTTTTGAAGATATCTCAGCCTGAGGAGGGCAGCAGTGACACAGCTTACCAGGTTGTGATAAGAAATACAGAAATAAAACAGTACAATTTTCTGCAGAGGTCTACACATTAGACCAAAGATGGAGCAATTGAAGAAAGAGGGACAGTGAGATTTGGATTCAATAGATGGACACTCCCCCTAAATATGGGACAGGTGGTAGCTATGCAATACATCTGCTGCCATTTGAAGCACCGAGTAGGTGCAACTCCAGCACTGCAGGATACTAAATATTTGCAGGCAACAGCATGAAGGACAAAGGCAGAAATTAAGAGGGCAACCTGGTTCTCAAGACATTTACTTGCCCTAGACATTACGTATGTAGCACTAACCCCCTCAGGAGCCGCTGGTTGTTTGGGTCTTCTTCTCCTATTCGAGATCTATTCGAGGCTTCCAACCTCACTGATACCACCAGTACATGTTTCTTTACACCCTAATGATTAAACAAGAATTGGACTCACAACTCTATGGAAAATAGCAAGAGGTATTTGCAAGTTAAAGTCAACCAACATGAAGCATAGTAACAACACAACAGAACACAATCAGATTTACAGAGTTCCTTTAAATTCTAGCACATACTGTGATGCCAACAGTGATCTCCTCATAAGGGGAGCTGCATCAAGTGACACAAATGAGTTACAAACCTGGATTTGGGCTAGGTCACCTGGAAGCTTTCACAATGAGAGACTACGCCTAGGCCTGTGGTAATTGAATCAATGGCAAATACGGATCTGCCCTCAGGATAAATCTGAATACAGTCCTTGCGTTAATCTGCTGGCTACATCGGGGCCCTTGAAAATGTTAGCGCACGTGAATGAGGTATGTTTATGGTGTGAGTGGTTGCAATCCTGCACCCAGTAGGTGGGACTGAAAGGTGTAAAGGATCTTTAAGATACAGTTTCCCGGGCTTCTCTTTTTAAACCCCCCTCCTCCTGTTCTCAGATGCTGTCAGGGATCCCCATCTTTAAGATACAGTTTCCCGGGCTTCTCTTTTTAAACCCCCCTCCTCCTGATCTCAGATGCTGTCAGGGATCCCCTCGATCCCCGCCGCGATGGTCCCGGCGCAGGCGCAGTGCACCGCCCTGTGCAGGGACACGGGCACTAGGTCCGGGCCGGCCGCGGCATCCGAGTTCGCGCATGCGCAGTAGAAGCCGCGGCCGCCCGCTGGGCACCAATGGCAGCGCAGGGCGGGATATTTAAATGTCCCCGAGCTGTCATTTCAGTGCCTTCTGGTCTTACCTGTATCCTGTGATTCTGAACCTGTGCCTAAGTAAGTTATTGACCCGGATTGCTCTTGACCTGCTGACTTCTCCTGTCCAGACCTTTGCTTTGCCTGACCTCTCTTTCTGAATGCCCCTCATTAGTTCTGACCTACTGTTGCTGACCTGGCGTGTGACCCGACGATTCTCTGCCCGCTCCCTTGTACCATACCGTCCTCTCCGTTACCAACTCGGCTAGTCTGACTTCGCACTTGCTCAGCCATCCATCCATCCATCCCATTGGGGTTACCCGACCTCCTCACATCTGGCTCTCCCTGGTTGGAGCCCCTGGCGAACACCCCTACCACTGACAGGTGTGCTCAGTAGTGGCGACCTGGTCCCGGGGTACTCCAAGTCCATCCCCACCATCAGGGGCTCTGGTGAACAAGTACCCTGGGGCTTAGACTCCGCGCTCTGGGCACGCCTGACCAGTGGAGTGCTAGTGGTGCCGCTCGGCGGCCCCTCACAGATGCACTTGGGTACCATAGTTCTTTTCCCCAGCAGTAGTAATGACTCTGCTTTCTGCCCAAACTACATTTTCCAGCATTCTGCAGTCTAAGTTCACTCCCAACCAGGGGCAGACTGACAACTCATGGGGCCCCAGGCAATAGGGGCCCCTGTGTCCTTGCCCAAACTCAAAAAAAAGCCTATGAAAAAGGTACCAGCGGCATCTCATGGGGCCCCCTACTGACCCCAGGCCCTCGAGCAGTTTCCAAGTTTCCAAATGGTCAGTCCACCCCTGCTCCCAACAACAAGTACACCTGCTGCTATCTTGTAGAGGCAAGATGAGTCCTGCATAGTACAGTAACATTAATTTCTTTTACATGTGTTCCTTTTCAGCAGTCTTTTCCTTCCATCAAACCAAAGAAGTAATTAACTGAATAAAAAGCTATACTCTATCTCAATATGTCTCCCTTCCTTTTTGGGATTTAGCAAATATTATATTAATTTTACATGGTCAGCAGAGACAAAGGATGCTACCATAATACTTCACTATTAATGTCATTTCAGGACAGTCTAGCCTCCTCAAAAGTACCTAATTAGATGCCCCTGACAGTTTTGCTCCATCTATTTTTTTCTCTTTCATATGAAATAAAATTTACAGCTGGAAGGAACCTGCTCATTTTGCAGTTATAAATGCATGTTGATGCCAAATGGGATTTGGATTGCCATCTCCAAATACAATTTATCTCCTGGTTTCCACTGCACAATGCAGGCTTCATTTGGACAGAAGAAAATAAACAGAGACTTGCACTTAGGTTAATTTAATTTTACAATGCCTTGTATAGCAACCTCCAAGACAAACAGTAGACTTACTATTTCTTCTGACTATAAGCCTTTTATGGCAGTGGAAATTTTTTTTCTAATAACAAGATTTTGTGTTATTTTTTTCCCTAATAGGAAACCTTACTCAACCTTACCCACAGCTCACTTCTACCATTGTTGTGTTCCTCCGAGACAGCTAGATCCCAATCCTGTGTTCCAAGAGAATGTCAGAGTAGAGTAGCCACTGCTCACCTGTGTTTACAATGATTTGATTATTCTGGTTAGTTAGGCATAGAAACATGTTCAACAGGGAGTTGTTTTCATTACAGTGGCCTCCATGAAAATGATTTTGAATAGCTGTCATTGACAGAAGTGCTAATTGTTTTCAGACCATTCATCAGTCATTGTTCTCAGTAATACATGTATTCTGCTCTACAAATGGAACTCATTTACTGGAGTATGCAGTAAGGTGAAGTACCTTGTGTTCACTTAAATCATTCAACCATGGGCAAAAGTTTGGTCTCCAGTTCTGAAATTTCCCAGTACATGATTTAACATTTAGCTCACTTCACTTTATTTCACATTATAGAAGTTAGGCCCAATGTGTACTGCAATGCTGACCTCCAGGAATGAGATCTTTTGAAGACAGATGTGAGGAGATGAAGGTTAAGAGATTAACATTTATGCAAAAGCTGGCTACAATCCATATCTTCCTTCACTGAGCCAACCTAAGTTCAGAGTGCTCCAAAACATTTCATTTTTCACTTTCTCCTGTGCTTGTCAACTCAGAATCTGTTTTAAGGAACAAGAAAGCTGACCTGATGTCTTGAGAACACTTGTCATAATGTAGTTTTTGAAGTCTTATCTGGTATGTTGCCAACCCTATATATGAATTGTGGTGCACTGATGTTTTGGGTGGAAGTCAAGCATAACTTTCTATGACCTGGTATTGTAGGGTAGGATGAAACCATGTCCTTGAAACTGTGGGAGTATCTACTTTGAATCTCCATAGAAACATCTTTGTCTTCCCTATTTGCCTGTCTCATTCAGAATTAACAAATTGGGCTTCTTGAGTGGGCATGAAAGAGCGCCTGGTAACAGGCGATCCTCTCTCGATGGTTTAAATTTATTGAAGATGACAAAGGTTACGCATGAAGCCAACACGTTTCGGAGGAATAGCCTCCCCCTTCTTCAGGGCTGTTGATATGACACTTGGTTGAGTGGTCACGTTTCAATAGTAGGTGACTGAATTCTGACTCCCTGCAGCTACTGTGGGGTAGGGGATCATTCTGCCTGACAACCCAACCAGAGGAACCTTTGTAAACCTTTGTCATCTTCTGTAAAGTTCTTATTTAAACCATTGAGAGAGGATCATCTATTATGGAACACTCTTTCATACCCACTCAAGTTACTCCGGTTGAAATGGCATCTCTGTCATATAAGACAAGTAGCAGCCCCAAGATCTCAATTGAGTAGACTACCAATGCCTACCCTTGGGGGTGAATTCCCCCAGATAGACTCCCACCTCATTCATTGTTTTGATATCCACCAACAGCCTATTAGTTTTTTCACCAATCCAGCAAGGTCTTCTACTCACATCACAGTTGGGGCTTCTGGATTAGTCGGGTCAATGTCTAAGAAATAAATAAGTTACAGGTGATATTGCTATACACGTGTGACGTGCATATCACCTGTGTTCCTCTACAGCTAAAAGGTAAACTAGGATTGGATTTACTGCACGTTCCACTGGATTAACCATTCCAGAACCATAAATCCTGGAGGTAGATGTTCCATACAACTAGTTGGAGGTTAGTTAGTGCTTGGATAAAGTTGTGGGCTTGGCTGGAGTTGTTGCTGACAACATCCTGGCAATGTTGGAAACATAATTCCTATATTAAAAATGCAAATGTATATTTTGGATCAATTGGCTGCATATATTATTATGAATATAATTCTTGCTATTCTCAGTTTCAAAAAGCTCTGATATTAACATTTTGAAACATCTTCCAATAGTGGATAATTGAATCTTTTCCTTTTTTGTGCCTTTTTCATCTTATCTTGATAATATGATAACTATACATGGAATGAGTATGCCATCCTTTCAGAAAGAATGTCCCGGTGACAGGGATTGCTGTCACCTTGACAAAGACAGCCACCGAGTTTATTTTCTGCTGATATGGGACTTCAGTAAATTCTTTAAATGGATCCACAACTTGGCGTGCTGGCTTTGTCATTAGATTGTTATTACAGAACTATAAATGCAGATCATAGCCAGTATATAAAGGAAGTACTGTAGATTATAGTGTATCTAATCTCAGAATGCTTTACATGGGACTCCCTTAAAAAAATGGTGCATACCCTTTTTTTCTAGTTTTTTTTCTCCACTTCTACCTTTGAATAGTGCAGAAAGAATGCACCATTCCCCCTGCCAACAAGGCTGGCTTGATGACACCCCCCCCTTAAGAGGAGGGTTTTTGACAACTTGGGCCAACAGGGAGTAGGTGAAATGATGCTTCATGTGTTATTCAGCCCAGCAGACAAGCAGCGCTGAACCTTGGAGAGGGCTTTCTGCGAAGAACAGCACCAGAGAACAGGCAATTGTTGCAGAAAGAGCTTCTTTATTTATACCCTACCCATCTATGGGATATTTCATTTTAAAAGGAAACTGAAGATCCCCTTTAAAATGTTATGGATTAGCAGGCTGAAAAACTGCCAAACACCCCAAAAATGTCATAAATGGGCTTGTTTTGGGTATTACAGATCTTCAGAACTCTTTATGGTATAGTGCTCTAGACTATCATCACTTCCTAGTATCTGAATAATTCATTATTTTTGCTGCAATGTTTACTTTTGGCATGAATTCAGAGTTCTATGTTTACTTTGTGTGCTGAAATGAACATATTCAAACAGGTTTTTCAACCAAACACATGTTAAGCATATTTAAAAGAAGAGGTACGCTGCTTGTATCCAAAATGGAAACACAGCATTTTAGAATCGTCGAAGAGTGCCTAATCGTAAAGCAGTGCTCTGCCTTTACTTAACAAAAATGTATTCTTGGAGTCGCTCGTGGCTCAGGAATTGGGTACTTCGGAACGCAGTCGTCAGACTTGGCTCTCCTGGCATATGTATAGGGAGTCCTCCGCACTCCGCATTCTCCTGGATACTTGAGCGGGACTTGTCCCTCTTTTCTCTCTTTTTGGGTCATGTTGGTTTGTTGTCTTACTTGGTGCTTTTTCTCAGGCGGATCTAGTCTTCTTTATTTTTTTTTCTCCTCTTCTTCCTTTTTTCCCTTTCTGTTTCCTCTCTCTCTTTTCTTCTCTGCCCTTCTCCCTTCCCTCCCCCCCCCTTTTTTCTGGAAGGGAAGGGGTATGTATTGCTGTGAGGGGTTCCATTGCTCCTTTCCCTTTTTTTTCCCTCTCAAGCTGATTTCACTTGCTCTGTATGGTTCACTGTCCCTTAGGGTTTGTGCTATTTATTATGGTTTTTCTAGTCTTTCTTATATGTACCCTTCGGGGGCTTGATATTGATTGTACAAAAAGACTATTTGCACTTTACCCTTGGGCCTCTCTCTTCTACCCTTCCCCCCCCCCCTTCCTTTGCCCTTCCTTAGTCCTTTTTTTGTTGTATTCCTTACCATTGTATTGTTTCTATGCCAGTTTGATTTTTTTTGTACAGTTCCTGAAAAGATTTAATAAACTGAGATTGATCATAAAAATGTATTCTTGAAAGACGGAAGTGAAAGTACGAAATATGGACAATTGCACAAGCTAGACTTTAAAGGACAGAAGACAAGGAGTAAGGATCTGTGGCCTCAACAGACCAGCCAGAGAACTGCTGGAAAAGGTGACAAGGAGCTTCGGGGAGGATGGGTGAGGGGAGTAGTGGAGTTGTAAAGCGTTATGTTGAGGCAATATTAACAAAACAAATATGCGGTACATATCAGCAATATGTGCCCATTGCACCATGTTTTATCCTTTTGAATCCCCTGCAAATACAGAAAAAGTGCCAGAAATGCATTCAGCTATTAGGCCCTGTTGATGGCTGACAACACACACCATGTTTGTGAACTGAGTGGTGTCAGTCCTTCCCATTGTCTTTTGCTGAACTTCTCAACCACATCCACCCTCAGATCACTACAACAGATAGGCCACACTATTGCTTCCCACAATGGAAATCTATATACGATCTGGCCAACAAATTAAAAACAATGCATTTCCTGTGTGGCTGCTTTTAAGTGAAGCTTAGAGAAAGTATTCAAAATATGTGTTCACTGAACATGCATTTTTATTTCCCTTTAATGCCTGACATCACTGCTCCAGTCATCCAATTCATGAACAGGTCAAAGGGAATGAACAGCAACCAAGACACATGGTAGATACGTTGAGTAGCCAGAGTCTGTAATACTAGGGCATTCCTAGGTACGAGAATGACTTACAAGTCTCCAAAGACTGCTGGACCAGGAGACAACAAATCTGTTTTTGAAGCCTAGAAAGATCTTGTTGGTTTGAATCCTAATGTCAGGAAT